GAGAGAGAGAGAGAGAGAGAGAGAGAGAGAGAGAGAGAGGGGGGGGGTTAGGAGGGAAGGGATGAGGGGATGAAATGATCTGCTGTAGGATATAAGGAGATGTAGTCCAAGGTACCCCATGGGTGAGCACTCAGAAGTTGTTGGCCCGAAGTCGCACATCTGAATTTGGATGAGTATGCCTCTTCTCTCCTTCTCAGGCGGAGGAATGAGTGTCGCCAGCGGGGGCAAGCTGTATGCGGTAAACCCCTTGCCTCGGACATTGCTGCAGGTTGGATGGTCGTACTGATTGGGCTGTCCTCAGACTAAAGGTCATCGATCAGTTTTAGACGAAGAAATTTCCATGTAAAGTGGGGTCGACATCAAACACAGGCACACACACACAAAAAAAAACAGGCATTATAATCATGGAGTATGAGGGCCTCAAATGGGAAACTCCAGGGCGTGTGTGTGGCGAAGATGCTTACCAGCGGCAGTCAATTGTTTTTTCGTTTTTTGGGCTTGTTAGTGGCCCTGGCGTGTTTGTAATTGCGTCTTGATCGTGGTTAGCATCCGTCAGTTATTGCTCAGTGGCACAGGTGAGGTTGGTTAGGGACGAAAGCAAAAGCTTGAGTGACCACTGTAACCGGTACTGTCCCATTATGGAGGTAGGCAGTACCATCATTAATATGGTAGCCATTGTTTGGGCAAAAGTGCAAAAGGATAATACGGTAGGGCAAAAGTGCAAAAACTTAATATGGTACGGCAAATATGTGCAGGGCAAAAGTGCAAAAAGGCTAATATGGTACGGCAAATATGTGCAGGGCAAAAGTGCAAAAGGAAGGTTTGCAGTCCCCTTTGCCTTGAGGCAAAACTTACCTGCCTCTCCATAAGGGCAAAAGCTTTTCTAGCTGTCGCTGCGTTCCCCCATTTCGCTCCTCTTCTATGTACCCCAGTTTGGAAAGTGGCTCCCGCGGTTTCGCTTAGACTGATCTAGTTGACTTTTAGACTGATTTGGTCAGACTGCATGGATGTCATTAAGACCCAAAGCGCATCTGAGTGGATCGTGACCTCCTTACTGGTTTCAGGACAGGATCTTTTTTTTTTTTTTTCCTCTTGCCTGTGAGAAATTCCTAGCGCCAGTGAAGAAAGAAGGATGACGATGCTGCGAATCACCGGGCCGGTGAAGTTTTCACCAAAATTACGAGCGAATCAGGTTTCTACTTGGCAAGTTGTTCTTGCGAACTCAGAACTGGCATGGCCTGGGCATACATTTGCGGCTGCCTGCAAACGTTGCCGCGAGAATGTTCCGTGTGTGTAACCGTTTTTTTTTTTGTTTTGTATTTTTTTTTCCGTTTGTTGCCTTTCTGTTTTCTGTTGTTAACTTTTTGTTTTCTTTTCCTTTGCTTGTTCTTGTTTTTTTTTTGGTTCTATCAGCTCCCATGTACTTCATTTGTAATTGTGCAGAAGAGTGAATGTAATGATCCTGTCTCTGTCTTTTTGTGGTTGCTGTATCAATTTACTCGCTGTTAGGAGGGGACAGGAATTTCAGGAAATTTATTTTTTAACTTTTTTTGGTGTCCATTTGGAATTGAAAAGTGAGAAGGTTGCCCAAAATGGGAAATGTTTTTGACATGTGGTTGCTATTGCATGGACATGGATGGTTCGGGCCGACCACATTGTGGTCGCTGGCTTTGTAGGGCGTCCTTTGGCAAGCAAGCAAGCCCACGGGGAGGCTCTGTGCTGTGCTGTATGGATTCAGTAAGTGAGGAATGCATTATCTCGTTTTGTTTTTTTTTTCTTGTCTTATGCTCAGATTGTTTTTTTTTTTTTTTTTTTTTTTTTTTGGTTTTTTTCCCCCTTTTTTCCAACCCTTTTTTTTTTTTTTTTTTTTTTTTTTTTTTTTTTTTTTTTTTTTTTTTTTTTATGCTCCCTTCTGTCCAAACCCTTGTGCTGCTTGTCATATTTGTAACTGCTTTTGTCATAAGGCTGTCTCTTATACACATCTAGATGTGTATAAGAGACAGGTGTTAGATTGTTTCGTCAGATTGTGCCACTCTGTGTGTGTGTGTGTGTGTGTGTGGGTGGGTGGGTGTGGGCAAAGGGGTGGGAAAGGGTGTGTGCCACTGTGTGGCAATACGGCGTGAGAAGGGAAACAAACAAGTGTGTGTGCCACTCTGTGTGTGTGTGTGTGTGTGTGTGTGTGTGTGTGTGTGTGTGTGTGTGTGTGTGTGTGTGTGTGTGTCCGGATGAGGGTTTGCGGGGGTTCAATGCATGTCGGCTGTAGATAAGACAATTGATGGAAATCTTGAGGGTAGAGGGGTGTTCTGAATGGTTCTGTGTATGTGTAACGAGAGGGCCATGCCGTGGCCAAGAAGAATGGTTGGGAAGGTCAAAAGGATCTGGGCCATCATGATTTATGTACGCGCTGCCGCGCTGGTTAAAGGTGCAGCTGTCAAGTTTGTTATGAGTCATTGCGGTGGTGGCGATGAAGGTTCAATGCTGAGAAAGAGATATGTTCTTCTTGTCTTGGATTGAGCACCTTGTGGGAGATAACGACGTTGTGCAGAGCAGGCCTTCGGCTCTATTGAGCATGGTGGCACTGTAGCTGGAGCTGCAGCAAGCTGCAGGGATGACAAGATCTGACCAGATGGTTGTGATGGGTCCAGATTATTAATGGGCAGGTTTCACCTGGCTCTTTCGCTGGCTGGTCCTCTGGCTTCTAGGACAGAGGCGGGGGTCGCAGAGGACCCACACTCTGTATGAAATGGAACCTAACTGGATCTCGGCAGTGATACTGCAGCTGAAAGGAGGGGATTAGTGATCAGCTTCTGCATGTTCTGCATTGCTCACATTCTTTCGTGGCATGACTGGAGTGAGAGATGCATGGCGAGGCAAGATGTCCAGTTCAAAGACATCTCCCTCTGCCTGTGTATAAAGAGAGGATTGACATTATGAGTTGGTGGGCAATTTGCTGTTTTTTTTTTTCTCACTCGCTTTCTCTTTTGTAAGCCTTTTATTGAGGTCGGTTGGCGGTGAGGATATGGTAATGTAGAAGGAACTCATGACCTTTTCTTTTTATGATTCTGCCTTTTTCTCGGTGTTTTTCCCATTCCTCCTTTGCATGCCAAGCACCTGATGTCAAAGAACGGCGGACTGGGTCGGGCCGAGTTTTACGGCAGCTGCGAGACCCAAATAGCGAAGGCGGCATTTGCTCAGTGAAATGCAAAGAGAGTCATCAATTACCTAGGGGATCGGTCTGAGTTCGATCGCTCGTGGTGCTGACGGATGGCTCATGGCGCCAATACTTCACATGGTGGTCATTGACAAAGGTGTAAGCAGGCAAATTCCAGATGCTAATCTGAGGTTGTCTTCAAGCTCTGCTTTTCTCTCTGCTTTTCTTCAAATTCTGCTTCTCCCTTCTCTCTCTCTCTCTCTCTTTCTCTCTGTGTGTGTGTGTGTGTGTGTGTGTGTGTGTGTGTGTGTCTCGGTTTCTCTCCACCCACCCCTGGTGTGCTCTTCTTCCTTTCCTGCCCATCTCGACCCTTGTTCTCTTCTCTCCCATGGTCTCTGGCTCTTCATAACACCCCTTCTTAGCGTTACTACTCCTGTGTTGGCTCCCTCTCCTGACCCTTGCAGGACCGGTATACCCCTGTGAAAATTCACCTGGTCGTTCTGGACATCCTGGCACAATGGAATGCACCTGTCTTACACCTCGTCCAGGTCCATTCTCACAGGGGTATTCTGGGCATTCAAAAGGTCATCCATCAAAATGTTCAAATATCA